GAGGGGAAGCAGCAGGACCTGACAACATACCAGCTGAAGCACTGAAGTCAGACATCGAAGTAACTACAAACATGTTTCACCTTCTGTTCAAAAAGATTTGGGAGGAGGAACAACTGCCGATGGACTGGAAAGAAGGACACCTCATCAAGATTCCAAAGAAAGGAAATCTGAGCAAATGTGAAAACTACAGAGGCATTACACTACTGTCAATACCGGGGAAAGTCTTTAACAGAGTGTTGCTGAACCGGATGAAAGATGCAGTAGACGCCCAACTTCAAGATGAACAAGCTGGATTCCGTAAGGACCGGTCGTACACAGACTAAATTGCGACACTACGGGTGATCATCGAACCATCAGTTGAGTTAAACTCATCACTGTACATCAACTTCACTGATTATGAAAAGACATTTGAAACAAATAATATGACCATAAACTAAGGAAAGATTTTGGGAAAGAAACATTTGTAGATATATTCAATTTTTAAAGTATCTCTAAAATTTTAGTTCTTTTTTGACGAGACGGATGAAGATGATAGCTCATTTTCGTAGATCGGTTGAAGTTAGACATGAACAGAACTGGATCCCGGTTCAGTGGTTTAAAGGTTGAAAATTCGCGCTCGAGATCGAAGGTTCTAAACGTCACGGTCGGAATGGACAACATCGAGTATGAAGGTATCGTGAGACGACATAAACTGACTGGAAGACAGGAATGAGGATGGTGACAAGCTTGCAGATTTATGTGCCTTCAACAAATTGGTTATAGGCGGCAATATATTGCCACACAAACGCATAAACAAAATTACATGGGTCTTACCGGACCACACTACAGAGAACCAGAAAGATTATATTTACATCACTGAAAATTCAGAAGGACAATGGAAGATGTAAGAACACAGAGAGGAGCTGACATAACTTCAAATCACCACCTGGTGGTTACCTAGATGAAACTGAAGCTAAAGAAGCAATGGACAACTGGGGAAACAGCATTATAAAGGTTTGTTACAGCTGTAGTGTCGGCTACTATGTCAAGCCTACATAGCCCATTCTAGCTTCCGGACAGGTAAAACCAAAGTCAGAATCTTCAATACGAACGTCAAGACGGTGAGTTCGGCTGTACGAAGCTGAAACTTGCAGAACTACCACAACCATCACCAAAAACGTACAGTTATTTATAAATAATTGTCTACTCATGATATTCAATATCGGTTGACCGGATACCATCAACAACGGACTATTTTGGCAAAGAACAAACCAACTTCGAGCTGAAAAGGAAGTTAGGGAAGTACACTGGAGATGGATAGGACATACATGAATCACGAGGCAAGTGAAAACTTGAAATCCTGAAGGGAAATGGAAAAGAGGAAGGTCAAAGAACACTGTGTCAAGAGTTGAACTCAGACATGAAAGGGATAAATATCAACTGAAAACAAGTGAAAAGCATTAACCAAAACAATGTTCAGTGGAGAATGCTAGTAGGTGGCCTATACTCCTCTACGATGGGTAAAAGGAGCAAGTGATCCATAAACGTATATCCTGAACTCTAAGTCTAACTGCAACCTAATCTACAAATACTAAAATTTACATTTTACTTCCAAATCCTAAACTCTTAATCCTAGTCATCTAATTGTAAATCATTCAAATATATTTGGTATCTTCCGATTGATTGAATATAATCAAGATCTTACCAAAGTCGATTACCAAGTTGCTCAAGCTCACCTTTGTAAGACAATTTTACAAAATATTTAAATCTTCCCCGATTAAATTTTAAAAGAATTTAAGGTAAATGAATTCAATTTGATCTTTGTTTTCAGCATTTATTGATGACCTTTTGTATGGACGTTTATTTTGATGCTAATTAGGACGATTATTGCTATCAGATTACCCTCATATATAATCATAGACTTAAATCGCGTAAGTGGATAATGGAATTAAAAAAGTCAAATATGAGAAAGAATTTCGAATACGTAGGTATCTCACACAGTCGTTGAACTGGACAGACAATCAGGGAAACGCAGTGAAGAAAGTGAAGCGAGAGAGCGAGGCGAAACGAAAGGACATGTATTGGAGAAGGCGATTGAGCCAACTCGATTTAGACAAGCGTGACTCGATATCTATAGTCAGATCAAAAATATGTTACAGACATGTGGCGGGTCAGATAAGGAATGCACACACATACGATCATATAAAAAACAATCAGAACTAATAAGCGAATAAGTGACAGAAAGAATGAATAGATTAGTGTGTTCAAAGGATAGGATAACTTATGTGGGCCTGATAAAGTACCAGTCATTAAAAACCCAATACAGAACGCCCTATTTAATTCAACAATCAGCGACTATTTGCTATCTTTATTCAATTAATGGACCATGTGAAAAACAAGTTAAAATCAAATATATCTCATCGATACAATTTAGCATTAAAACATCGTTTTTTGTTGTTGTTTTACCTTTCTGATCTTCGCTTAGCTGTGCCTAATGAACTATTTGGGATATTATTATTATTGTTACATTGGTCTATTTTTTCGTTCAGTATAAAAATTCATGCATCTCTGATATTTTAAACTTATAATTTATACAGCTGTCCGTCGTGACCTTAACTTCATTCTGTCTTATTTCTTTGTAACCTTAACTAAAATACAGTTGTTAACGTGTCTACAGGTGAGAATCTTCAATTTTAACATCATATAATTCTAATGACGTTGTTTAAACTTCCAAACAAATGTTTTTGAAAATATTGGTAACTTAAATATTTCCTAATTCTATCATGATTATTATATAGTATGTTCATTTCCTATAAATATTTCGATACTGTGGAAAAAATGTTACCATATGTTTTTGACAGGTTGCATGAAACACATAGAGAATCGGTCAAATTTTTCTATTTGATAAACAAACAGGTAAATTAGGACAGTTACCAGGAGAATTTACACCTTTCATGACAAAAGACGTATATTAATACAATTGATCATTTTGTAATGACTGATTTTATATGGATTAATTATTAGTGAGGGTTAAGTACTGTGGATTAGGTTGCAACTGTTTCTTTAAGTTGGATGGAAATCAGCAACAAAGTCTACGCTCTGGTTTTGTACTACTGTGGTACGTGCTACTGATGTCGACAGATATATGTAGGGCGTGTATCACCAATTGAAAGTGAGATTCCTGGCGGGAGGATGTTATGAAGATCAAAGAGAAAAGAGCGAGAACAGAGAGTGATTGATGTGGAATCGAAGAATCAGCAAAGTCTGATGGATATTTTGCAAATGAAGTATTTACTGTATGGTTCTCAGATTTCACCAAGACCTTCTGTAATGAGAGAGGGGTTTTGTGGATATTATAGTAATTTAATAGTTGAATTCATGAGCCAAATGAAGCTAGACCATCATGGAAAACCTGGAAGCACTGGACAGCCGCTTCATCCAAGTATGGGATTCGTCAGCGGTGCCCATCCACCATCCCACTCCGTGAGATTCGAACCCAGGGCCTGTCGGTCTCTGTAATGTTGTATTAAACTAAATTTATTTGTCTCCGCTTGTGTTATCGTTCACTACACTACAAGTACCTAGATATAACTTATCTTTATTCAAGTTATCTTAGTGCCCAGGTTTTAATAATAATACTTATTGACTAGGATTTTTAAGCATAACCAATAACTATTTGTTTACTGGAAATAGGTAAAAACGAGTTATTTAAGTATTTTATAAAATACTTATTATTAAAGTTAACGTGGACCAAAGATTTGTAACAGACCGATAGTTTCTCATTTCAAAGGTCACTCATACTGATATGAAATTGGTAATGTTAATTAATTTTAAAAGAATTAATAATCAAAGGATTTTTTCATAATGATACAATCGTTAGCAAAGTTATGAAAATCATAGAGATAGTATATAACTTTGTTTGTAAGTAAAGTCTACCAAAAATGAAATTTCTTTCTGAATAACGGTTCTATTTTCCGAAATCAATTCAGTTCATTTTTGTCACCATACATCACATGATCATGCCACGTCTGTACACTTCCTACAGTGACTAATATCGACACAAGGTTTTTCTTTATTATAAAAGAGGCAAAGTACCATGTTAATCAATGACTAAATTTAAATAGAACAGTATGAATCTTGATACCGACAAAGTGTATATTCAGTTGAAATCATATATAGCTACATAACACTTAAGAGAAAATATAAATTATTAAAATTGTATTGCCTTGTATTTGACTGGAAGAAATAGATCACTGAATTCAATCCAATTCATTATTGAAAACTCCTGATATAACGGCCGTCCAATGCTTCCAGGTTTTCTATGACGGTCTAGCTTCAATTGACTCATGATTTCAATCTGTGAAATTAGGAATGTATTTATATATATATCATGTTTGATTTTACTGACATCAAAAATTGTTCTCATTCAGCACTGTACTTTTAATCTATAATCCGGAAACTCTACAATCGATTCCACTAACATACAGTAATATATTATCAAAACGGAATATTTAGCACAAGAATATCAACTAATAAGTGTTTGAATTATTTTTTTATTGTATATATTAATGAGACGCATTGAAAAGTGTTTTTTACGGTCATTATTTGGCATTTGGGTATAGAACTTCGTCCAAGCTAGAATGATGTCTTTAAAACCAGGAACATAATTATTGCACACAGTAGACCAAAATATGCATTATAACTGTCTGACTAATTGATATGATTACTAGATATGATTGAATTCTTTTACGTCCTATATTGTTCCTTTTTAAAAACAAACAAACAAACTGAATTCGATTAAATTTAGAGAAAAGGAGTAAAAAATATAAAAAATGATTTTGTCCAGTTTATGTAAATTTCTAGATAAAACAAACAAACAAACATCACTGTCTTATAGCTGTATTTAGTTTCCCTAATCAATTGAAACTATGTCATTATGTCTAAGTAATGTTAAGCTAACAAACTAAAATTACACTTAACTACTATTGTGATTATCATTTTTTTTAAAATTTGCATTTTAGATTGAAAGTCAAACGTTTCATTGAAACAGTGTACACTTATTGACTAACATCAATTTACAAAGGAAATATATATCTAATTTTATACTTTTTAAAGAAGATTCAATTTGTTATTGAATAGGTGAGAAAGAAGTGAATTTTTTTTCTCATTAAGATCATTAAAATTATTGGCGGGAAATTTTTTTCAAAAAATCATTGCGACGAAGAAAGAGTGAGTTTTAATGACTTATCTAAAAAGTGTGAAGAAACTATTTAAATTATATACCTATTTGTATACATAGTATAAAACAAAAAAAGAAACATTTTATTCAATTAGGTGTATTCATTGTATATCAAATGATAACTTGTTAATTAATCGGTTTAAAGAGCGGTAATTTTGTTTTTCCACATAAATGATTTTTAGAATTTGTTCATTTTGAAGTCAATTTTATCCCCGTAAAATATTATAGTCAAATATTCTGCGAAAACCCCATATCTTGATAATAATCATGACAATAATAACAAAAATAATAACGTGCACAATAGTGACTAGTTTAAAGTAGGATCTGAGATATTTTGAGTAGGTGTAATCAGTCAGGGATGAAACATCACCAACATTACTAAATAACGAACTGTTTATATCACAATCTGATCTAAGTGTCTAGTCCTTGATGCTAGTCCTAAAGGTCCTTGGTAGAATTCATAGCAACCATTCTGAGTAAATACTGTCAATGAAATGTGAGCTCTCTGAAAACATCCGCTTAGTATCCAGTACTTTTCAGTGTTTTCTCATATGATGTTAGCGCGGAATTTTTAACTACACTAAAAAGTGTTTTTATTTTTTTAGAAATTTCATATCATAATACAAGTGTGTTAAATTCATGAATATCATGCCGATAATCAATATTAGCGAGCTAGATGGTGAGGATTTTTTTCTTCTCAATCACTTTAGTCAATTAAAACAAACACATTGATAAATTCAGATGACTGAGAAATGATTACCGAAATTATTGATAAGAAAATATTTGCTAACTATATTGAGATTTATATTCAGTTCTTGATCATCTGATACAATCTATGTTTAGGGATATTTTAGCATAATAACTATTATTTTGGAATTTCAAATATTCTATTGTGCATCCTCGTACTGATAAGAGCAAATGATTTAATAAGTAAACCTTCGTTAAAACAATCTAATTCGTAATAAGCAAGTATCACCTTTTTCCTGATAAGAAACAATGAATGTTGTTTACTCTGGATTTTTATGTCATTTAGCTCCTGCTATAATAAATGACCTAAAAGTTATATGAAGTATTTTACCAATGACAAAGTTAATTTTAGACCAAGGACGAAATTCAATTGCAAGTATTCAGCTACCAATCTAGTAGTTTATATCGGAACGCCGCTCACTGAAACATTCGAAAATGAGTAACTTTATTCCTCGTTTTTTTTTCGCAAGGGCTTCTACCAGTTTACTTGCCACGTGCTGGAGTATATACACATTGGAGTTACAGGAAACAAAGGTTATTATATACACTTCCGAGCATATTATATTAAAAACTACATGTTGCAAACAATTCAAATACTCATTACTTGCATTATAGTGAAGGTGTTGATATTACAGAATTTAAAAAAAAACAATTAATGAGTTCAAATTTACTGAGGTTTGTTGAATCAACACCATTAAACAAGTTTAATCATATTTATTCAGCCAAAAAACCACTATGGTTATTCTTGTATTACTCAGGTGATTTCACTTTTTCATATAGAAACTTCACCCGTTTCACCTTGTTTATTACCCATTTATCAAGGTCATTTTATCCAATTTAAGACAATAATTTTCCATATTTAAAAACTTACAGACCTGCCTTAATCAGTTCTCCTACTTTATATACTTAATCAACAAATAAGTAACCTTGTGAATCACTGCTTCTTAATTTCACCAAATTATCTGTGAGTCAGTTTCAACTTTTATTAAAAATTTCCCATGAAACTGCTAAAACACATAAACACTTGCTCGTTTAATAGTTATTGCTATGAGATTTAAGTTGTAAGCTATTCAGAAGAACCCGTGAAATGAAAAATATCACGTTTGACTACTACAACTACTGTTCTCACATTATCGAACCTTAAGAATCAGTTGTATGGAATATCAGGTAAAAATTCGACTGAAGAGTTTGACCAAAAAATGTACATTTATATATTACCCCAGCGAAAGTTATTTATTCAATGATTCTGTTACATATTTTTATCGTAATCACTCACTGCTCTATACATTGAAGAGATTTTAGTATAGTTATTAACTCAAGAAAATCATTTCATATCAGATATTCTTATTGGTCAAGTTAATTATATTAACTAGGAATTTGAGTATGATTGATTTGAAGTGGCAAAATCAAATTAACTTCATGTTTTTCGATCACATGAATAGATAATTTATGCTACTTTTATTTTACCTCAAATTGTATGAATCTTTGAATACAATTATGTTATATCAAAGTCTCCATAGTGAATTAGATTAACCAACTTCTGAATAACTCTCTGTGGTCCTATAATTTTGGACAGGTTTTTGCCTAATTAAATGAAAAATATATTTATTTGAAATTGAGCCTGAAAAAGAAGAATAGAAAAACAATCTCATACAATAGTATTTCGTGAACAAAAGAATATGTTTATATAACGTATACTACTACTACTACTACTACTACTACTAATAATAATAATAATAATAATAATAATAATAATAATAATAAACACAACGTACATCCCTTAACATGAATAAATTAACCATTATCAAACAAAATTATCATTACAAAATACGTTAATAAAAGCATTCTATATATCTGAATTTCTAGCTTCTCTATTTATATGTAGCTCAATAATTGAAATAGATATTACCAAGTAGATAATTAGTAAATCAATTGTCCTAATATTACAAGTTAATTCAACGTTCCAGAGCTGTATCATCAGTAGATTAACTTGTTAGTATTTCCATAAATATTACATTTAGCACTTGGGTGTATTTCGATGTTTTGTCAAATCAATCTTTCACAAGGTTTTAGCTTTTAGAGCCCCGAAAAATGACTTTCTTGAATCGAAAAACAATTTCTAAGCCATTTCTAAAAGTTTTGAAGTATAATTGAAAAAAACTTGACAAATACCTGATGGGAATGATAATTTCGGAAAGGGTTTACTATTTGGAAGAGAAATGTCAACAATTTTCTAATTATATAATTGATTATTGTTCGATAACCAGTGTAGCTCACAGTCTTTGTTTTTGTAAAAATTAAAAACTAAATTTGGTAAATTCAACTACTGTTTATTAGTATTATGAGAAGTACCGATATGTTGTTAGACAATACGTGGAACTAAACGATTCTTTTTGTGCACCGTAACGGTTATTCGAAGAGCATTATATTTAATTTTGGGACTATTGACACCTATAGTGTAGACTTGTCATCGACATCTAGAGAACTCAGATTGTTTCACAAACTTAACTGTACACTACTCAATATTATGGTTAAAAGAGCAACAAGTAGCGTCAAACTAGTCAAACATTGTATCCGTGATACTTTAGTTTTCAAAATAAATCGTGATGAGACAAACAAAAATTTTCTGGTTACATCATACTTATAGAGAACTGAAAATTTGATTTGGGATGCCTTCACACTTGAAAAGTATCAACTTATGTCTAAGTTGTCCACTGGATATAACTTATTCAATGACTATAGGAATCATATCTGTTTTATTATACGTTATCATAATAATTTCACCACTGATAGTGAAAATAAATTTATAACTAATGTGCATGTTCAAGTATTCTGTTGTTCATGAACAACAATATTTTGACCTTCAAATCAAGAGATAATCACTAACACGACAGTTACTTATGCTTAAATGGTTAACAATAAACATTTCAACACTTTCATGAACCTGATAAATCCTTCCCATAAGAACCTGTTGAATGAATTAAGTTGAGATTATGTAAGTCACATGTATCATTTACAAATAAAGGCTTTAATATTCTGACCGTGATGAGAAGAATCAAGATCATGAATCATAAACAAAGTATATTTAGTTTAACCTTATAAATAGTGTCTTTTATTCTCTACAAAATTTTAACCTTCATTAGATCAATTAGGATTGTAAATATAAAACTGTTGTATTAAAAATAGATCTGATTCATTGTTAACTTGTGAGCTAAATTATTCTGTTTCCTCCGATATTTACAAAAGATGAAAAACAATACTTATTTAAAGTTCATTTATCGTGATTCATGGGAATAAATTGAAAGCAATTCATCCTTACACCGAATAGCAACCACTAGTTACACTAATGAGTACCATTTTGTATAAAAAGCAACGTAACCTCAAAATGAAACTGGGTGTTACTCACTTGTATTATCATAAATTATTGTTTATAAAATAATCGTTATTATTTGTGATTAATGAAATTTCCCTAACGGTTTATTATGCAATCTGATTTCGTTTTCTAATGAGTTACTTAGTTTTTAAAATCCCTATAAATACGACTATGTATTTAATAACATTAACTAAAGGAACGTTTCGTGAGATAACTGACAAAGTTTGTACTTGAACAGTTGAACATTAACTTCCTAACCTCATTCCAGTTCCTATATTTCTTCAACTCTCGAGAATTAAAGAGGAAACAAAAGCCAAGAAGTGTAAACACCTTAATCTAGAAGGTTAGTTAATGTAAACAAAACAAAAGTATTAATGGGTCTACATGTGACGATGCAATTCTATCAGCTTCTAGAAACATGTTAAAATCATTTTCATAAACTTTTAAGTATCCAGTCAGGAAATCACGAAATCCATTTTTCGCTAGAATCAATAAAAAAATTTCAAGAACGTTGACTAAACAAAGTAGATTCACTATTTTCATATCTTCTCGAAACTTTTTTGAGAATCTGCCAAGGTCTGTCAAATGAAATCTAGCTAGAAAAAGACTTCACAATCCAAAGTATATAAACGAACACTAATCATTAACTTAGAAGAAATAAACATTTGAGAGAACTTTCAACGTTGACGTAGAAAACTATGGTCTATGAATTCGGTCAAGTTTACGGTAAGTTCTAACTGATTGACTACATTAGATTAGAAATAACGTATGAACAGT